CTTTAAATGACAAAATGAAGAGAGTTTACCCCTTAGAACAGGTATTCTTCACACTTTTCATCTGGCTCACTTTTGGGTATTAGCAGTATTTGTTCAGCAGACATGCCTTTTATGTAGAATAACAAGTGAATAACAAGTGAACAAGAATTTATAAACATTCTTTATAAATGTTATTACCTAAATTCAAAATTTCTAGTGTGTACACATTGTGCATCCCCAGTCTAGATTAGACATAATCAGCCCGGAACATGCTTCGTGGATATAACTTTTATTTTAAAAATCGAAATATTCAGTAGTGCTCCACTCTAGGCAACTTGTTCAGCAGATGGCGCAGTAACACTACTTCACGTTCTGCTTTGTAAAGAACTAGAGCAATCCCCTTAGGAGTAATGGGTGGCTAGGCAGTGTACAGATTCGGTTTTATGTTCAATTCGTTTATGTGTTTTTCAGGAAAAAGAAAGAATATTACATGGTACCATATACAATAATGAACAAATGTGAAGAATAATCATGGCATGACAGACTCGGTACCTAAACAAACTGTGTTAATCCAACAATTATATAAAAACAGGAATAGAGGAGTAGAAAAAAGGAAACTAGAGATGTGGACGAGATAAGCGAAGGGAAAAAGAGAAAAGAAAGGAACAAAAGGTAGTGTAAAGACAGAAGAGGGAAGCCACAGTCTTCAAGGTCTTCCATATGTCTGAGTCGATCTGCAAGCTCTTAAATAAGTTTAAAAAGGGTTGCCAGGCAGAATAAAATGTTGCCATTGAGACAAACCTATTTTTTTCAAGGTGGAGAAATTACCGCATAGATTTGTTTTATCATTTTACACAAAGTGCATGAATTGATAAGACTACTACTGGAAATTAGTAACTTATATTTGTCACACATTATTTAACAACTTTCATATAGTTCATACAATACATTATATATTTCAACTAGACATTTTAGAGTCCCTCAATGCAGATGCAACAAAATAAGGAGCTCCTTTATCCCACATTCAATCAAACTACTGAAAAAATGTATAGTTTGTTTTTTGGAAGTCTCTGTGTGTGTAAAACATAGCTGCTCGGTGGCAAAACAAAATTCTGACAAATCAGACAAAGTATTATCATACCGTATCATATATAGCTTTCCCAAAATAAACCAACTCTAAATAAGATCATGAAAACCATAGCATTTTCTTACTCAAGTTCCCAAAGACTTACAAGAATTGCTAGGCACTGATTATTTTGTTATGCCAGGAAAATACAAAAAAAGATACAAAAAGAAAAAGCACACATTAAATGTTTGTGCCCACATTCATAACCAGTAAATAATTAATAATTTAAATACTACACAAACTGACAGAAAAAAAGGTTTGAGCCCTCATCAATTTAGTCTGCATAATGGTTCCATAAGGTTCACAACCTGGATTTGAGGGATCCATGGGAGAAGGCCCACATCTTCATTTATGTTATGTGGTATGGTATCTGTGGCACCACGTTACTGAATACTGGATGAAATTGGGAAAACATTCTGGGGAAAAGAAATGTGTCTGTGTGAAAACCAAGTCTGGTTTACTGTAACAAGTGAATCTTCAGCAAACCGCCTGGTCTGTTGCGATAATGAACAAGCCTCTTCTCAATGGGTGCCACAATTCAAACATAACTGTAGAATTTGGTCATCAAGACTATTATAAAATGTATCAAATGTAAGTCTAAATTACCCGAAATAGGTGTCTAATGCCAAACCTAAAAATAGCACGTACTTAGAAGGGACCCTCTTCAAAGTCAACTGCACACCAAGAGGACCACCTTAAGTATCAACTATGACTGTTATAAGCCGCCTTTCAAGGTATAACTGACACATAGTAAATGTTATGCAAGTTACACAAGGGTATAATTTAAAATTGTGTTAATCCTACACCTAATCAAATTAAGGCACAAAGTAAAAGTTATGTAGTGATGGACTGAAGTGATGGAGAAAGTACACTGAAAGAAAAACACTACTTCTTTGTCATTGTTCTACATGTAACATAGCTTTCATTAATCATGAAAATGAATTTGCAATGTATGATTTAGAGGTGTTAATTTTGTTCTTGCAGGGCAATTTATAATGCATTATGATGATTTCTTTGTGATGTAGGGAACTGCAGTAGAACTTATTAATACAGCAAGCTATTTAAATTATATTAACTTGGAATAAGATTCAGCAATTCATGTACAGTTTGGTAGCCGACATTGCGAATGGGTTCCTCACAAATCTCCATAATTTTTATTAATTTATTTTTTGATTATGTTATGTTTCATCCAGATATGTTTCTTTTTCCCAGGAGAAAATAAATATATGAAGTCAGAAACTAATAATGAACACAAGATTATTGAAATTTAAGAAGTTAATTCATCTCTTATTCTGATCATTCTTTAATTGCAAAACCTAAGGTTCAATGACTGTGGGGAATACTGCAAAAATGTGCCATTATAACACTAAACTCTCAGAATGTGAATTTTGATTGGTATCACTGATAGGACAGAAAGAATGATAAGAATACATTTTTTACACCTAAGGAATTCTAAAGCAAGGTATACAGAATGTAGACACACCTCTCAACCTCACAGAAGATCAACAGGAGAAAAAATGTTATCTGTATGTTGGATTTCACCTGTGTGGCCTGTATTGATCAAAGCACAGCTTTAGTTCCACTGGCTGTGACAAGACTTCATGCATTTCAACGTGGTACTGTATTCCTTACAGCTTTCTTATCAGTGAAGCAGAGCTTAGTGAAAAAGGCAGGGATTCTTGGTGGAACAGTTTTATGGCAAAGGCTTCCTTATATGATACCTCAAACCCTTTGTCAAGAAAACATGTCTGTATAGCAGAAATATTTAAGTATGTGTAAAACATGTTTTTTACTTGGATTACTTATAGTGTATAAAAAGGACCATCTACAAATATCAATTTATCATTAAATCAAGCAAATCAGTATCTTAACAGCTAAAACAAACAAGAATTGCGTCCTTGTAAACATAAAAATCCTTTACAACAAAGCAATTCTAGAAGATACAGGGAAGAGGAATAATGAAAGTAACAGCAATATGTGCAAGAGTGGCCTTTTTCATTAAGACTTGCCATTTGTCTGACAAATGTCTGAGGAAAGATGTTCTAAACTTCTATAAAAATAAACAAAAGTGACTGAAATATTAACTTCAAACATACATCCACTCATTTAAAACATTTCTATCAATGGTTACCATCTATGCGTTTTCTAACAGTTTTATCCAAAACAGGGATGCAGGGGAGCCGGAGTCTGTCACGACTAACAACAGGTGCAAGTAAGGATATACCCTAGATGGCATATCCTGCCTTGGATGGGATGCAAGTCTATCGCAGGTTAGACACATACACACACACAATTTTTCCACTTAATCTCCCAGTATGATTTTGGACTGTGGGAGGAAACTGAAGCACTGAAACCGAAAAGTATTCACTCTCCTTACATTAACACTCATTAATAAGCTCTGTTTCAATCTGTTGGCTTTAGAATTTGCACAGTATGTTGACTGGAATCCACCTATAAGCAATTTAAGTGGTTAACCCTTCAGATTGAACACACTTGTCTTTGTAAGGTTAAATATAACTGTCGGAGGTTCCACCATTTGACATTGCATACAAAGCAATGTGAAGACGAAGGAGCTTCCACGACAACTAAGATAGGATTTGTTGACAGACACTAGTCGGGTATGGGATATAAAAATATTTTTTAATCACCTAGTATCCCACTGAACACTGTTAAATCATTTATCAGAAAGTGGAGGACACATAAAATTACTCAAAATGTTTAACAACCAGATTGCCCTCCAAAGCTCAGCAGCCAGACAAGAGGACATTGGTCAGAGAAACAGTCAAGAGGCCAAAAACAAACCCTCAAAGACTTATAATGTCTCATAATTAAGATGGGGAAAAACTGTGAGCGAGTCAATTGCTAAGGTACTCCCTAAATCTGGGCTGTATGGTAAAGTGGCAAAGAGGAAATAATACAGTATTTGAAAAAAGTTCACGAGTTCCCATTTTGAATATGCGAAAAAAGCATGCAGGAATTCCTGAAACAATGTGAAAAAAATATTGTGGTCTGAAGAGACATACTGTAAACGGAGTCATCTGGCCTTAATGCAAAGTGTTATGTGTGGTGAAAGAGCACTACTCATCACTCACAAAACACCATCCCCACACTGAAACAAGGCAGTGACAGCATAATGTTGCAGGGTTGCTTTTCATCAGCAGGGACTTGTAGGCTATCCCTATCTGCAAAAAATCTGAAACTGGGACAGAGATTCATGTTTCAACAGCACAATAACCCAAAACACAAATTGAAAGCTACCCTTGAGTGTCTTAAAAAGAAGAAGGTAAAAGTCCTTGAGTAGCCCCATAAAAGTCCAAGCTTAAATCCCATTGAAAATCTATGGCAGGAACTGAAGAATGCTGTATACCAGTGCTCCCCCAGTAACCTACAACAGCGGGAACAATTTTTTCAAGGAAGAGCAGGTGAAAATTAAAATTCCAAGCTCTGAAAAGCTGGTAACAACAGACCGCAAAAAGACATGAAGCTTCAATTGTTGTAAATGGGGAAGGAACTGAATATTAAATGCTTGAGGCCTCAGGGAGGTGAATACTTGTTCAAGCTGGCTTTCTGATTTTCATAAAAAAATATTTTTTAATAAAAATAATTATGCCCCACCAAAATGGTAAGTTTGATTTGCTAATTGTACCCAAAAAATCCTGTTAAAATATGTTTCAGTTTGAGGTTGTAACACAACAAAATGTGGTAGAGGTCCAAAGGGGTGAATACTTTCTACATGCACTGTATGACTAGAAAGGAGATTAAACTGAGCATCTGAACTACCAAATACCTCTACAAACAAAAGTATGAATATATGAAAAAAAGTAACAAAAGTATGAATATTTCCCTTTTTCATTAAGAATACTCAGAACATGACCCTCATTCCCACTATCACGCTTTTTCTTGGCAACTTCTTTTTTTTATTGAACTTAAGTAAGGAAAATGGGATTTAAATATAGTTAGCATCTAGCTAAATACATCTTTCTTACATGCAAATACAGCCCTGTTGTACAAACATTCCACGTGTTCTTGCAAATGTCTCCATGGTTAACACAGATCACAAAAAATACTTTGTTGGCTGGCTGACCACTGAGATTAATCTAATTTGTAGAGGAATTAATGGGATGGAAGACCAGCTAAAACAACTCCCAGCCACAGGTCAAACACAAAGCTTGCAAATAACTTAAAAACTAATACAAACATTCAGTGGATCATGGAGTTAATAGAAACGAGGTGTCAATTTCTGCAGAAAGAGCAAGGTTGCTCATTTGTTCCAATTTATGCTGCTGTTTTCTTAATAAAATTAATATATTTCAATTGATGAAAACTATGGCCACACAAATAAAATCATTCACAATGTATTGTAAATTAATGACCACTCAAAACATGAAAGTTGTACCTGTGGTGAAGAACAAGCAAAATTCCAAAAATTAGAAATGTTCCAATCCTATTATAGTTCAAGTAGGTAGCTGCGTCAGCATAGGTAAGCTGCAAAGGAACAAGTAAAAGGTTTATTCCATGCTGAAAAGAGAAGAAAGGAAACACAATGTTTCGGTTTTGGAGTCTTCTTCGGGTTTGGGTTCGGGTTTTTGTCTTTTCAGCATGGAATCAACCTTTTACTTGTCCCTATTATTATTAGCTACATAGGACAACCCAATCCTAGACATTACAACTATATTTTGCTTCTTGCTAGACTACTTCACACCAAGTCCAGGCTAGCAGTATAGGCATACACTTGTGAAACACGCTGATCTAAAATGTTATTTCTAATTTGTTTTGTTAGCATAATGAAGAATAAAGAATGAATTCTCCTTCATATTATACATAGTACTGGTTTCTTCATTTCAAATTCCTTAATTCTGTACTTACCAGTTCCCTTGGTTTGAAAAGGCTGCTTGAAGAAGGTCACGATGCCATACACGTTAGCAACCTCTCCAGGCTTGAGCTCATTCAGAGGAACATAGGTATATTTTGGCTTAGGATTCTTAAGAAATAAGATATTGGTGGTTACACATGGTGCATAAGGCAATGATGATGATAAAGGGAAATAATTTTATTTATTATTTTTCAGTACATATATTTGTAAATATATATTAGCCTTACATGTGTTAAGGACAAAACCGATTTATTGATATAAAAATAACATTTTTTTACGGTAAGAAAAATGATACAGTATTCATCAAATAAAAAAATCACAATCTACTGAGAACATTACTACTTTTTATCAGAACTAATAAAAGCAATAGCGGTACTAAAATAAAGGAATAAAACCAAATTTCTTTTTGGTCTAATCCATGTGCTTAGAACTATGTGGCTACTTTATGCAATGTATGGAGAGGCTGAGTATGTTGTGCATGTTGTGTAATCTGGTCTACTGTGAATGGTTTTGATCAATTTGTGATAAAGATGGCTACATTCATACTGGATCTGCACTTCAGAGCCAGTTGCACTCGGATGAATCAGACTGATCAAGGAACTGAAGTAAAAAGTAGGATAGAGAACATTTGCTTTTCAAATTGAGTTTAACTATTTTAAGATCCAGCTCTGGAGTGCAGTAGATCACATGTAGTAGACAAGTGGTCCATTAAGTTGACTACATGAAATATTCTTTCATGTTTGAGATTGTGAACTCAAATACTCATACATGGTTTTGATCAAACAAAAATTACAATAAAAGATGAACCTGGTTTAACGACCACTCAAGGATTCATTTCAAGTGATAGAGCAGATGGTAATATCATTTTAAAATGAGAAGCCTGTATCTGTTAAATGGTTCATTGTAAAAATAAAATATTCAACAGCAACTGAGCTCCCTCTGGGTTTATTTGTTTTGATAAATAAATCCATAAAAAGTGAAATCTCACATTAGAACTGTGTTCTGAAGTCCCTGAAGAATCCACAGATGAGCTCTGACCAGAGAAAGCTGCAGGACAAACCTGAAAGGTTCGTAATAGTGTCATACATAAAGATACAAGTTATTTTTGGTCATTTGTATTTCAATGTGTAATATCTTGGCCTTTTCTTTAATTTGATCTAAAGTCCCAAAAAAGCAGATGGCTATTATTCTACAAAACATTATCGCAACGTAACGTTTATTATAAAGAAAGAAAACAAACAATTACAAAAAACATAACTTTTTTTCTTCGTTTTTTCATTTTACTAAACTGCAGTGGCCAAAACTGGATGATAAAAATTAAAAGGGTGGTAAAATAAAAAATAAAGTGTTAACACTCCATGTTAACTTAGTCGGGTTATATTGCTGAAGATCTAAATATAGCAATCTTGGAAGAAACAATCCCAACTAAATTTTTCACCGCTATCGTCCAGGTTACCCTGCAGGCGCATGGCCAAGGACATTTTCTGCATGGATGCACAATGACTCAGTGATGTTCCAGACACATAAACTTATGCTGACTCATTCATCATTCATGTGATCATCTAATGTTTAAGTATTTACACTATCATAACAAATTCACCAGTACATTTGCAGAAAGCTAACAGAGCACCTCACATATAAATCATAAGCACAGAAGTATGCAGAAAACTGGAAGTGCAAACTAAAAACAGGCAAAATAGCCAAAGGACAAGCTTTTTAGCTAAGGAAACAAGATTTAATAGGAAGATGCAATGGCACACAACTACTCCTACATTTCCTCTCACAAGGACATAAAGCAATAACACAGCAGGACTTACATAGGAGAAAACAAAAAAATAAGTTAATTTGGGGGAATTCAGGCTAAAGAACACTGGGGAAACATAAATATTTAGTAGTTTTAAGTGTAGTACTCACATAAATTGTTGCTCTTCTTTCTTCTAACTCTATCTGACAGAGGTGCCTCTTATCTTTATTAACTGTTGGTGACATGCCTAATCTAAATCCAGTTATGACAATAGTGTCCTAGAATAAAAATTAAATGTTTTATTGAAGAGGAATAATAGCATAAACAATTTTATCAGTGTTAATCATTATCAATATTTGATATGTCATTCCATAGCTGAGATTAGCCTTCAGAGTGCTCAGGTCATTGTCACAAAGCCACAAGTTGAGGCAGTAGCATTCCTCGCAGTGAACTATAAAATAGGAATTCTACATTCTTACATCCTTCACAAGTGTAAATGAAGTCATGTGTAGGATAAAATACCTAAATGTGTACATACATATGTTATTTTGATTGTATATTTAAATTTGCAGTTGTCATTTTATGTTTTAAACATTTGATAAGATTAAGAATTATAAAGCATTAGATCATTTCAACTTTAGTGACTGATTTTGTTAATTGGACATCATTACTAACTACATTATGCATGTAATTAGGAAATCCACTGGAACACAAGAGGAAGATATAAACTCCACGTAGACAGCATCCCAGGTTATACCAAGACTTGAGGAGCTGAATCATTATGATACCAGGGAGTGGATGTATTGTGTAAAACATAACAACAGACATTGTTATAGTGAGTTCAGGTGGGTAGCTGTGTCAGCATGCATAGGCTGCAAAGGAACAAGTAATAGGTTTTTTCCATGCTGAAAAGAGAAGAAAAAAACACAATGTTTCGGCTGTGGAACCTTCTTTGTAGCTAGTTTGGTTGCTCCTTGATGTTGTTTAAAAAGCACACAAACTATGACAACAACAAATAACTATTTCATTTGTAATACTAAACTAATTATATATTCTTTAAAATCATGTTAAAAAGAAAGGTTTGAAAATAACAGCTGTAATTAAATGCAGCAAAAGAGAACAAGGTCCAAACAAAAAGGAAGAAGCACAGTAATACTTCATTACAACACACTACTCCACAAACTACTGGAGGAAAGGAAAACTGTCTGTATCTGTCCATATCTGGCATATCCTGAGACCATGAATCATTCCTGTTGCTGTTCTTTGAACTGTTTCTAAGGGTAAAATATATATTATGAGGAATGTCTTACAAAACTGAACACATTATTATTAATAAGATCTTAATAGTACTTATAAAATCTGAACACAACTTACGCTGTATATAATTTAGACTATTTAGCTATATATCTAGTTTATTCTTTTGCTTTATTACTTCCCCACAATGTCTTGATGAGGACATAGAAGAATTAACATAAATACGTAGATCTCTTTCATCCACAGCTTCCTGCAGCTCACTGTATCTCATATAGTATGCATGGTATTCATTCCACCTATGTGCATCACACGCCACTTTGTCTAAGTATTTTTGTAATTCCCTTGCTCCTGCTTTCGTGTTCACTGCTCCCGCTATTTTTATCAATTTAACTGTTTGGCTAAGTATATCAGAAGCTGATGTTTTTTTCAGCCCAGAAGCACGCTATTATATGAGAAAAAAATATATGATTTCTGGACTTTTGACTTATTTTTTCTTTTTAATCTTAAATATACAAGCACTTTATCTCATGTTTTAAATATACTGTATAAAATTAAGAAAAAGCATATGAAATACAAACAATACCATCATAAGCAAATGACCTACCATAAAGGGCACCAATGATATTCCCTAATTTCAAACCTGTGTAGTATTTGCTTTATTATTTGTGCATTTTGTGTATTTTATGTTTTTTTTTAAATATTTGCTAGGAAATAAGAAACACAATCAACATCCATCATAAACAATTTGCCTACCAATTTTGTGGGGGAAATGGTTATTTCTGATTTTACAGGCAAAATTCACTTTAGCAGATTCCGTACACTAAATCTGAGGTTTAAACGGTTTGTTAAACCGAGGGTTTACTGTACATTTTTTACAAAGATGAGGAGTCTTATATCTGGCATTGGACTACGTTCTATGAGTGGCTATTTTCAAATAAGAGAAGAAATGAAGAAGGTAAAAATGTGAGTCTGAGGAGCAAAAATCCACAGCTAAAATGTATCACAATGTACGCCAAACTACCCATGGATCAATACTGGCATACGGTCATATAGGGAAAGAAATCTAAAACCAGTAATTAAAACAAAAGGCACGTGGCATTTAAAAATCAATTAATTTATTACATGTCACAATGCTTTAAACTGTTTAACTAAAAAACAATTTTCCCTTTTACAAGAATGGGCTCTTGTATTGCTTTTTTCTGTGTACAGAAATATATATTTTCGGGACTTCAGTGCAAAACAACACAACAATTTGTATTCGGCCCTACACACACCAAACGTACATATTATATTTGTATGACATTGGGTGAAAAAAGTACCCTGGTTTGAGCAAAAATGTTTCAAACAATATTAGAACACAAACAAATAGAAACTAAAGTATTGGTAACTTAGATATTAAAAATAGATGAGGAGCACTTATACCTATTAATAATTTAAACTGATCTACTGTATTTAGAGTTTTGAAGGAAGACCGTTATATTACTAGAAAATCAAGATGATTTTAGACATAAAATACTTCATGGCAACATTTAACCATGGAATACTCATTACAATGAGAAGAAAACTGCACAGTAAAAAAGAATGAAAGCTATGCCTCAGAAAAAAAACACGTGCAAATCTTGTTTACTGAATTCTTTTTAATGCAAGCATTAAAGGTTATTTAAATATTACTATCTAAAAACCACAAATATTTTTTTAAACAGGAAATATTTCAGTTCATATGAAGAGTTGAAAGGGCTTTTGAATACATGGGTCATGCCAATATCTTGGTTGATGTAAGACACCAATCGTACGTCAAAACTAAGAGGCACTCTGTGCAGTCACTACAGATCTTCATCACTTGAAATCCTCATTTAAACATCCTTATAGTGACTACAGACTTCTTTAAAAGCCTAACTCTTTAAGTTAATGTTCAAGGATGGTACCATTGTTTGATTTTTAAGAGCTTATTTGTGACTTTATGTCAAGTTAATTTATCAAAGATTAACGTTATTTATTAACTATAGTTATTTTGAAGTCTGCCTTATATTACCTAACCCAGCCTACCTCTTTCCCGCTATCCTTTGCTTCTTAATATACCTGAAGAATGCCACAGATTAAACATTATTTACCCTTTCTTTTTATTTTTCTGGATGGAATTAACATCTGATTATTATATTTTAGCAAACTGCTTTGTAAATGAATAACATTTACAAAGTTATTGTTATACAAATAACAACCTTTAATAACAGAAAGAATGAGTAAGAATACTTAAACTATTTTTAAACAGCTACTTTCTTTGAAAAATAACCCCCCCTTAATATAACAAATTGTGAGAGCTAGGATCTCACAAAATGTGTTTCATTACATTCATTAAAAATTAACTCATATCTCTATTCATACCAAACTTTAAAAGGCATTCATGCAGTATGTGCTTGTATGTTTTTTCTGAAATAATGAAATGAAAGCTCACCCCTTGATTGATTTTATCTGAGAAGTCTTTTGCCAGCTTGCCAAATGAAAAGACATTGATTGACGTGGTCTCTGATAATTTAGCATGCTGATGTGCATGTTCTGAAAGAGAAATATGAATTGTTTATTCTACACATTTATAATACCATTTTATACAGGGAAAAGCTTATCAAATGAATGTCTGGCAAACATTTCTATACTAAATATACACTGTTGTTTAGACAGTGATTTTGGTAAATTTGGTAAGAATTTAAGCCTATACACAATATTGGACTACCACAGCCATTGTTTTCTACATATATTTATACTGGCAAAATATTTCTACATTTTTATACTGGCACTGTACTGTAGGTTTATTTAAAATAATGTTCAAGGATAATTTATATCCATTGTATGTGTGATTCACTGGATCTACTTTAAGTGCATCATTTGAATGCTGGAACATTAGAGAATATGCATTGTATATACAAATAATACATAAGGCAACCCGGTTACATTATAAACAGTTTATGCTTTAGCACCAAGTACACTGGAAAAAAGTAGACATGAAATAAATGTATTAACTAGTCAGCTCCTCATTTAATGAAGAAAGGAAAGGACCTGAACCAAATATCCACAAAAATTATCCTAAAAGGTTTAAATTTGAAGTTACTGCAAAACATCAGACTTCAATAGCTGACTGCAGTGTCATAGAATGGCAATATTTAAAAATACCAAATTCCCCTACCTTCTATTACAGCCTTAAGCATATCTTCTCCTCTTGTCAAGGCAATTAAATTGTGCTTCATTATTACAGTTCCCTAAAAGAAAAGGTAAAAAGAAAAAAAATCAAATCAAATAAAAAATTAAGAGCAGCATTTCCAGGGTTTCCTAGCAAACCAAATGCATGAACACCAACAAAGTGTACACAAGAATCCATATTTAAATACTGTGATGTAGTAATACACCACGAGACCATTTGCTAGCCACATTGGTACGTAAATGCATAACTCTAAAGTCTCACACCTTGGTCTGAAAATCTTATGTATTGCTTGCAGGTAGCAAGAACATAGATTAGAAATACCAGATCCTGGGCTATTATTACTGATAAGTGTTACTGAATACTTATGTAAATGAGAGATGTCAGTCTTTTATTTTTAATAAATTTGCAAAACAGTCTAAAAACATGTTTTCACTTTGTCATTATGGAATATTGTGTGTCAAAATCCAAAAGTGGAGGGGTCTGAATACTTTCTGTAAGCATTGTATACTTCTTATATAATACTGTGCTCTTGGACTAAAATTTTGTGATTTAAAGAACACTGGGTGGTAACTAACACACCTTCCCCCCTTTCAGTGCTTTAAACTGAAAGGAATTTAAAGTCATTTCGTGATCTTTCGTTATCTTGTGAAGAGACTAAATAACTGTGAATTTAATCATGGGCTACGTTATAATAAATTGAGAGAAAAAAGTCCAGGGGAGGCTTTCTGGTCACCTGTACAGTCACGCCAAATGGTTTAATCACTGATACTGAGACCACAGACTGGAAAAAGTACCACAGCTCCAGGGTCAGACAGCAGGACTATCAAAATCTTCACTCTGTCCTTGTCTAAGCTATGCTTACCTTCACATATTTGTCTGTACATTGTGAATCGTGGTTGAGGTCTTTTATGTAGATCCTCTGTAGGGTCGATGGTATCTGTGCATCTCCTGTGAGTATATGCACTGACATGTCTCCAGCTCTGTAAAACAGTTATTAAAATGCAGTTCTTAGAATACATATTAAAAAAGGATAGAAAACCTTTACAGTAAAAAATAGTTCCTATTATAAAATCTCTTTCCAAAATTGACACTTTTTGCAAATACATCAAAATATTATCAAAAGAAACTTATCAGTTATAACTAGTGGTGGGTGTTTTTGTAATTTTCTAACCTGCAATTCAGTAATCTCGCACCCAGAGGTCAATAGAGCATATTCTAAATTAAACATTCATCACACTGCAACTTACTTCTATGTAGACAGGTTTAACAGCAATGAAACTAGTGACTATATTGTGTCCATTTTATTCAGTGCCATCACAGATAATACAGTAATAATTTACACTGACCATCAGGAGCATGGATATATTGTATTAAAAAATAACTTGAAATTGGAAAATGAGCACAGTGACATAATAAACTGCAGCACTTTCTCTAAAAAAAAAAAGTTTTCTTCAGTTTTTTACAGTATAGCATGGAAAAATTAAAATGTTCGCAGGGAGTGCATCACATTTCAGTGACCGAAAACATCTGTATAAAATCTAGGTATTATATTTTGCTTTTAGTTCCCCCATATATCTTTCAATGACAGTGCTATGTAAAAAACTTCCTGCATGATGAAAACATGCTTTCAGTAGCAAATGAATTGATAACAACGGCAAATTACTTTAGGATTTAGTGTTATGATGGGAAATTATTTTGCAGCTCCCTTCAAAAAAATCAACCAAATACATTCCACCGCCATTTTTCTGTATTTGTTTACCATGGATATGCATTCATCATTAAAACCTAGAAAATAATTTTATGGGAGGGTATCCAAATAGAAACTTCTGTTTTGGGTGGAATGTTCTTATTGTCATAAATTAAATTTATCAATCAAAAATGTGTTAGTTGTTGAAGAAAATTGGTATTGTTTTTTTAATTGATCAGAGTTGAAGTGCATAGGGATTTGCCCAAACAGACTCACAACTGTAATTCATCTAAAGGTGCTTCCACAAAATACTGGCACAGGGGGATGTATAATTATACAATCAACATATTTTAGTTTTTGTTTTTTCTTTGCAGTTTTTAACGGTGTATAACTTCATTCACCCATCAAAAAGATCAGTCTGAGGAATAGTTTTGACTTAAATGTGTATACATAACTTATAATTCAGCAAAACAGGACATCATTGGAAGGGGCTGAATACTTTTGCAAGGTTTTGTATATAATAATACTTAAAATTAATATTCAAATTTTCGTTCCTTTTAAACAAAAATTAAAATATGCACTAGAAATAAATTAATATAAAGTGACAATATGTTTTACTTTAATGTTCAACACTTTTCAAGACAACCTGAAAACATAATTAACAGGCTGTAACAGAGAAAACAGAACAGCTGTGAAATCAGTCAAACATCTTTAGGGATTTTCCCTAACAAAACTAAGAAAAACCATAAGTGCATGAGAACTCATACTGTTACTGGTTTCTTGCTGTCAATACAGTTGCTCTTGTAAGAATTTAAAAAATTCAGTTGAGGGAATAATCTGTCATTCAAAGAAACAGAAGGGTTTCTATGCAATGGACAATTATAGAAAGCATGAGATGAGGTCAGTCAAATCTTTCCAGGGTGCATTATATAAAACAATTTAGAACAAGACCCAAGAAAGTGACTAACAATCCAGTAAATGCCATGAATCTTTCTGCACGGTTATGTAAGTCATTCCTGAGTAGGCTAAATGTCAGAGATGATTTTTAAAAGAATCACTTGAAGCTTATAAATGCCCAGGCCGATTAATTATCACAAAGGCTCTAATTAGCTACATTCAATTTTAAATGAGTTCAAGAGAAATTAGACAGTGGAGTTCAGCATAAAAACTAAGTTTGTTTTCTGCAGTCATGTATCTAAATAGTAAAAATTAGGAAATTCTTTTGCATACTTTGGTTTTGTTTCTCACTTTTTTCTCCTTTTGCACAACTGCTTAAATTTAATGTTAAGATATTGTCATTAACAAATAAAAAAAGAACCCATGACCTCCAAACTGCTTTTTCCAGCCTCATTTTAGATAACTTTGCCAAATACTCCTAATTATAATTTCTTAGTGGTAGAGAAAGATTATTAAGATTTCATGCATAATGCTCAGTTGTTTTGTCCTATTAATGGCTCTGTGGCTAAGGATCTGCACCTGTGGCTGGAAGGTTGTCGGTTCGTATCCCGCGACCGGCAGAGGAATCCTACACGCAATATAAATGGCTGACCCTGCGCTCTGACCCCAAGCTTCTCTCCCTGTCTGTGTGTCTCATGGAGAGCAAGTTGGGGTACGCAAAGTCCAATTCCTAATACAAGAAATTGTATAAGGCCAATAAAGTGATTTTATCTTATGACTTCTAAGCACTGAATTTGTTAGTTACTGTAATGGAAACTTTTCATGTTCAAAGATTGGGCAGCATAGTAAATTCTAAGCAGATATACTAAAACATGAGTTAACCATGATGGTGGCCTTATCTACAGCTTCAAACTTTCACTTTTCTTATGAACCACTGTACCAATTGATTCGAAACTTGGCAGGTTACATTAACAACCAAAGCTTTTACCCTAAACCAGAAAGGTTTCTGCATGTACCAAGATAACAGCATAATGCCATTTTGTTATCTCAATTAAAGCTATCTCTGTCTTGATAACCACTGCATTGACTGAATTGGAACTTGGCAGCTTTCTTCAGCAAAGTTGCTGCTCATTTGCACCTCACAAGCTGCTACAATCAATTACACACCCACACTGAATCATCAAATATTTGGCAAAACGCAGTCTCTTAGGTAAATTGGTTTTGTTCACCAACTGTTTGGATCTTGATCAAACTTGGAATGTTTTATTCAAGTGAATATACAGTTAACATACGATGATATGAAGCTCCTGCATAAATTACAATGACTAACTGATCACCATACTGCTGCTGTCTCAGGAACCAAAATATTCATTCAATTGACCCCTAGCAGGTTTCATCACACAAACACCTGCTTCATGCCTGCACCTCAAATGTTGTAGCGACACTTTGTATGCTTTATTTCCTTCCTATGCAGCAGGTTCCAGCTTCCAGGGGATCATCACTCCAATCTGCCAGTCCAAAGGTACTATGCCCACACTCCATGTAACACTCAAGAGGCATTACAACTACAAAACCCCAATACCACTGAGTGCTTTCAACATCTCAAGTTCAAGTTTATTGTCATTATACTCATATACAGGTATATGGTATAACGAAATGCTATTTAGCTAGCTCTCAGATGGTAAGCAGTACAAAAAAAAATACAATTGTATAAAAAAGAAAGACAGAGACATCAGGCAATGTGCAAATACAACAACAGATAACAGGTAATGTGCAAAACAATATCAGATGTGCAAAAACCAACCTCTCGAGATAAATCCCATCCATCATGCTGCCTTCCTTTAACATTACCTAATATGTAAAATTATGAAGCTTTAAAACGAATCAGTAGTTTGACTGAAGTGTTTTGCAGTGTTCATAGAGTTCTATTCACAACATAAAAAGTATTTTTACACACACCCTTTGTGGGTGTCAAAACAGGATCTTTTAATTAGGTGGGTCCAGACGTAAAGTTAAAAAATAATATATAACATTACATATTAACATTACTTTATTAACCCTTTACAATTTCTTGCATTAGGAATTATCTTTTCACATACCCCAGCTTGCTCTCCATGAGACACACAGACAGGGAGAGAGCCTGGAGTCAGAGCACAGGGTCTGCCATAGTACAGCACCCCTGGAGCAGTGGGGGTTAAGGGCCTTGCTCAGGAGCCCAACGGAGTAGGATTCCTCTCCCGGCTGCGGGATTTGAACCAGCAACCTTCCAGCCACAGGCAAAAATCCTTAGCCACAGAGCCACCGCTCCGCCCAAATACAATGTATTTATAGTGAGGGTAAAATAGTCACTAGAAACCAAAACAAAAGCTAAAGCTCCTTTTTGAGCTCCCGACTAAATGTGTTCACAAAGTCCCTGGACTATCATAGCTGGGTAGCTAAACTGCATAATGGCTTCAAAACAATCATAGCACCTCAGTCACTCCCCAAAATGTTTTTCAAAACTTTTAAAGATCTCCATAAGCTCCTTTTATCCTTTGTTAATCCTTCTCCCTCTTTTGAAAAGCACATACCGAATGTTTACCTTTTGGCCTCCAGACAGCAGATTAATCCTTGACTGTCCCTGAAAGTGTTCGCTTCCTGCTTTTTAAACAGTCCCTTGACCAATTGTTCTCCAGCAACTGGTCAGGTTACCGGATGTAGTAGCTCATTCCCCCTGTTTTCCCAGAATGTGGTCCAGATAAGGCCATATTCAAAGTACTGAACTGAACCAAGAGCAAATAATGCACCACTACTGTGTGCTGTCTTTTTGCATAAAAAAAAATCACTGAACCTCCTGGGGAACACTACATATTGATATGGGATGCCAGACATTACAATCTGCATAGTCTGGCTACATGTAATTTCAAGAAAACTGCATACACTGGTATCAATAAACAGGTTTAGTAACATAAACTACTCTAGGTTTTAGAAATGTCACTTATTTTGAACTTTATTACAGGCATGGCACACAAGTATATCATGTTTTTGAGGCGGTTTACCTTTAGGTCATTTTGTTTTTGTTATTTTTGGACAGTATACTCAGAGAACATATCCTCCTGTTTTACTCTTCTTATTGATTGTCAACCTTGACATCTTTCACTGTGCAGAAAAGATGACCCAGGGTGACGGAGTAATCAACAATGGAGTGCTTCACATTCTCAGCACAGACAGCGCGAACTAACAAGACTCAACTATCAGTTGAAATTGCCACAACTAGCATCATGATTTAAGTTTATGCAATGTATTTGGGCATCTGAAGAATGTGTCAATGTCATCTGAACTATGATGCCAAACTTTGTGATGATTGCCCTGCAGGACAGAAGATATGGGTTTAATGAAACACTAAAGCAGTACCAA